CTAGCAACTGAAAATCTAAAATGCCAATGTGAAATATTTTTTTTAAGTCTATGCAGTTGGTTTGATGTTTCAAGGTTTGTTAAGCCAAAGTAGCCCCTAGCATGAATGCCTTCATTTCTAAATGCTCATAAACAATCACTTTTTTAATATTAGAGTTTTAAAGGAATTTATATCAAGCTCAATGGCACTTTAAAAAAAAAAAATAGGAAATTTGGTTCCCTGGTCACATCTGTAAGTTCTTCCATTACCCCGGAAGATCATTTATCTTGTTAAAGACACTTGACTAACTTCTGGCACTGATCTTGAGGTTCAAATTCTGTTTAAACATTTCCTTCAATGAAAAATAAAGAATTTGGGTGATACACTCTCTGAATATCTCTCAACCTTTAACATTCTATGATTTTTGTTAGGCTATCTCCATTGAGAATACTGATAGATAAGCATGGCCACAAAATAATTGAACAGTTTTATTTTATCTGTTAATGTTACACTGTCTGCCCTAATCCTTCAACCTATTCTCCCCTTTTATTGTTACTCACCCAAAGATATTTTGAATCCCTTTGTTTATTCTAAGCAATTTTTAGATGCCTCAGTCAAGAATCAACAGTATATTAGATTCTCAGAACTAAAGATGTAGAGATCTCTCCCTGAAAGCTGATGCCTTCTGGAGGGAAGGGAAAGTAAAAAAAAATTTAGCTGTCATGTTATATGAAAAATCTTTTTTATCTCCCCATCCACTGGTTGCTATACCTGTAGAGAATGCTGTAACCATATAGGAAAGTATTTTACTTCTGGAGATGCATCAAGATTAGAAGTCCTGTTCCTTTATAACAAAGTGAAAATTTTTAATAACTTTGGACTGCACTAAACACTGGGATATTCATGTGTCTGTTTTTAAATTATATATCACGCACTCAGTTTGTGGAACAACATAAATATACATCTTACAAATGAAAATTAGATTCTTCCTGATTTGGCAGATATTCTCGTCATGGTCAGCCCAAAGCCTGATCGAACTAATGGAGTATGTCACCTTGCCCTACGGCCAGAAGACTCCAGATAGTTTGGTTCTGATCATTTCTTTTTTTTTTTTTTTTTAAGATTTTATTTATTTATTTGACAGAGACACAGCGAGAGAGGGAACACAAGCAGGGGGAGTGGGAGAGGGAGAAGCAGGCTTCCCTCTGAGCAGGGAGCACGATGCGGGGCTCGATCCCAGGACCCTGGGACCATGACCTGAGCTGAAGGCAGACGCTTAACGACTGAGCCACCCAGGCGCCCCTGGTTCTGATCATTTCAAAGTAAAATTATTTGTAATGATGCAATAATAAAGGACAAATTTATGTGAATTAGGAGAGTTCAGTGAGTGCCAGTATTTTTCTTATAGGCTTAATTCGGTTGTGGTTGTGATTGGTTTTGCTCTTGTGCCCAATGACCTCATGATAGATGCATTTTACAAATACAATTAAGGGATACAATTGAGGAATACTATTTCAAAATTATTGTCTACCATGGGGATAAGCAAAACTGTGTCTACCATGGCACAAAACCTTGCCTATCATGGCACTTCTCTTAACCTGTCACTTTTCTTGTTAGTTATAAGCAGCAAATACTTGTACTTTATAATTACAATATAAAGTAGAAAGAATGATCACATAATACTTTTGGGCAGAGCCTTTTTTAAAGTCCAACAACTTTATTAGTGGGATCCAGTGCCAAGCACTGTATTATGTGCTGGAGATTACAGCATGTTTGGGAACTCTGCTGTGCTCTGTTGCTAAAGTATTTTCATATATCCTAAAAAGGTGAATCTCTGGGGGCACCTGGGTGGCTCAGTTGGTTAAGCATCTGACTTCGGCTCCGGTCATGATCTCAGGTCCTGGGATTGAGGCGCTGCATCAAGCCCTTCATCAAGCCCCGCATGGGGCTCTGCATTCAGGGGGAAGTCTCCTTGTTCCCCCTCCCTCTGCCTCTCATCCCCACTTGTGCGCACGCTCTCCCTCTCAAATTAATAAATACAATCTTTTTTTAAAAAAAGGTGAATCTCGGGGCGCCTGGGTGGCTCAGTTGGTTAAGCGACTGCCTTCGGCTCAGGTCATGATCCTGGAGTCCTGGGATCGAGTCCCGCATCTGGCTCCCTGCTCGGCAGGGAGTCTGCTTCTCCCTCTGACCCTCCCCCCTCTCATGTGCTCTCTCTCAAATAAATAAATAAATAAAATCTTTAAAAAAAAAAAAAATAAGGGCGCCTGGGTGGCTCAGTTAGTTAAGCGACTGCCTTCGGCTCAGGTCATGATCCTGGAGTCCCGGGATCGAGTCCCGCATCGGGCTCCCTGCTCGGCAGGGAGTCTGCCTCTCTCTCTGACCCTCCCCCCTCTCATGTACTCGCTCTCTCTCATTCTCTCTCTCTCAAATAAATAAATAAAATCTTTAAAAAAAGGGGGGGGGCACCTGGGTGGCTCAGTTGGTTGGGCGACTGCCTTCAGCTCAGGTCATGATCCTGGAGTCCCTGGATCAAGTCCCGCATCGGGCTCCCTGCTCGGCAGGGAGTCTGCTTCTCCCTCTGACCCTCCCCCCTCTCATGTACTCGCTCTCTCTCATTCTCTCTCTCTCAAATAAATAAAATCTTAAAAAAAAATAAAAAATAAAAAAAGGTGAATCTCTTGTGAGGAAGCAAATCCCTTGAAGGAATCCTCATGACAGAAGTCCCTTTTCCTTAGTGATCTAGAAAGGGACTGGTTTTTGTTTTCAAAATATAGGATAAGCTCTAGAAGCAATTGGGAAAGCTTAACTTTGCTGCATACTCCGCTTCCTCTCATCATCGACTTCCTCCATGCTATATAGAGACTATCAACTAAGGTATTATTTGGTGATAAATGGTTGCATTTTAGTAATAATAATAGTTAAAACATACTTGTCAATCACTATGCAAATTGCTTTTTTTTTTTTAAAGATTTTATTTATTTATTTGAGAGAGAGAGAATGAGAGAGAGCACATGATAGGGGGGAGGGTCAGAGGGAGAAGCAGACTCCCCGCCGAGCAGGGAGCCCGATGCGGGACTCGATCCCGGGACTCCAGGACCATGACCTGAGCCGAAGGCAGTCGCTTAACCAACTGAGCCACCCAGGCGCCCCAGCAAATTGCTTTAAATACATCATCTCGTATGATCATAACTACCCTATGAGTTTTACCTAATATTGTCTGTCTTCCCTGATTAAAATGAGTAAACTGAAGCTTAGGTTTCAGTGCATGTCCAAGGCCACACGGTTAGTCACTGGCGAGTGTACGACTGACTCCACAGTCTGTGTTCCTAAACACTGTGCTATTCTGCTTTTTAATAGGGGTTCTTGAAGGTCCAAGGGAAGGAGTACATAACGAGGGAAGAAGTGGTCAAGGCATTAACATTCATATGGTCGACAGCGCACTTGCCAGCAATCTAAGCAACCTCATTCCACCAACTAGCAAGGTTGGCAAGAGGCTAAGTACAATAGTGTGAGGAACAAAGTCATTGTACTGCCAAATACAGGACAATCTCTTTAGTAGGATGTCTTGGAAAAGACGGCTGATTTGTGTCCGCTTCCTGTTTGCCTTTTCAGTCACTGAGGGAGTAAATACTAGTTGAAACTTAGGATCCTGACGCATCAAAATGGACAACCTGGCAGGTGTCCTTGCTGAAAGATGACAAAATTGCTAAAAGACAAACCTTGTTTTTTCTCTAGAGATGTGACACTTGGGGGCTTCCATTAAAAACTTCACCAAACCTCTGTCACTTTAATCTCTTTCTTAAGCGCCTATGATCTTTTCAGGGGCACAGATCCATGCATGGTCAATACCCAGTGGCCAGGTTTCTGAGCTGTGGGCAGAGGTGGCAGTGACTGTCAGGGCCTGGGAGGAGATGAGAGAAGAAAAGGTCACTCTTCCTGACAACTTATAACTTATTCCACTTATAAGCCATTTATTTTCAGAAATAAGTAATGGGTGAAGACACAGGCCAGGCCTACGATTCATGCACTTGAGAGTTTAAGGCTTTCTGAGATCAAATTACCATAGCAAACAGAGACAGAGTTATTGTAGGGACTTTTGGGGAGGAAGCAGACAGAGGGGGAGAAGCCAGAGACCTAAGAAAGGAGACAGGAATAGAATGTGATGGAAATTGCTTCCCACTCTGCACCCTTGAAGGAACAAAGAGGACAAATAAGAAGCAGCAGTGATAGGAGGAATCTGGGAGCATCTCTGGAATAAAACTGGTTAGGTTGTGGAGTGTTGTCAGCAAGTGAACTTACTGGGTGGGAAGGAAGGGATGTGCTAGTTGAGGCCTTTGAAATCTGGGTGTCAGGATCATTGCTTTGGCCCCTTCGCCTGTCCCCTCAAGGAGGGAAGAATGCCAAATGTCAGCTCTCATTCTGGCTTTATTCCAGCCCAGAGCTAGAAAATGACCCACAGAGGGAGATCTTAGCAGTGAGAGGATGCTGGGAGATGAGAAAGGGAAAGGACTTTTCGGTGAGTGCTTTTTGCATGTGGGGCAATGGATTTTAAATTCCTGTGGAAGAGAGGAGAAGGCCTGGGAAGAGTGGGTGTCTGGAGCAGAGCAGCGGCTGTGACACAGCACAGAGACACTTCCTCGGATCCTTTTGCTTTCTTGTTCACTGAAGAGAAAACTGGTTGTCTTTTTGTTGTCTCTGTAGCAATACAAGGTTGAGTCTTAGAAGAAAGGAGGGCCAGAGGTGTAAAGGAGCCTCATATTTATGGAAGGGGAGCTGTAGCCATTGAAACTTGCTGGCTGTTGTAAGAGAAATCCCAGCCTCCCACAGTTTGCTTAATAACAGCAGATTTTAAAAATAAATAAATAAATAACAGCAGATTTTTCACTGCAAAGCATTCAGTGGAGTCCAAATTCCAGCCTGGCTTGGGAGATCAAGAGTAACCCTCTTGATGTAATGGTTTTGCAGGCTCTTGATGACATTGTCATCTGTTAAAGAAAAATTTTAAAAACACTCTTGAAAGAACAAAGAAAATGTCTTGGATGATAAATTTAAAAGATTTGGAGTAAAAGAAGGAAAAGCTTGAGGAAAGAATTTCTTTAAAATTTTACCAGATTTCCCCACTCTGATATAAAGGGGTCAAATAAGACCTTAGCCTGCAGTTTCATGGAGCCATTTTTGAAAGAAAAATTTAAAACTTGAAATATTGGTTATTTGCCAAGGTACACACTGAAAGCAAGCCCCTGGCTACCAGCAGAACGGAGTACTGGGATCCCAGGATGTTAGTTTTAGGCTTGCTCCGCAGAAGAGAACCGCACTTGCCATCCCCCTCCCTTTGCCCCAGGAGTTGAACACTTTCTGCACTATTTAGGAGCATCGTAGGGAAAAGGTTGGGGTCAGGTGAACAATTCCCGTCATCAGCAACCCCAGAGCGCCTTCCTTGCGTTTGTTTCTTTTGAATGTGTAGCCGCCGCCCAGGTGCCCATACTTAGCTAAGGCCCCCAGTTTATTTTCCTGAATCGCGCTCGGAAATCTTTTCCTGGGAAGGTGATAGCCCAAGTCCTAGAGACATAACTGCTTGTCCTAGAATAATCTCCTTACGAAACCCGTTCAACGGCCGAGGGACGGTGGAGACTGGCTGAACAGGGAGATGGGGGCAGGGAGAAAGGGAGTGGCCGCGTTCCCGCGGTCCGCCGGGATCCCGCGGGTCCAGGGCGAAGGAGCCGGAGCTGGAGTGGCTGGAGCGACCGATCACTCCGGGTCGCCGTCTGCCACCTCGGTGCGGAACCGGAGCCGGACTTGCTGAGCACTCCTCCCCCTCCCCTTCTGCTTCCTTTTCCCTCCCCCTGGAGCGGCGGCGGCGGCGACGGGCAGGCAGCGGGGCCAGGCGGAGCGACTGTGCGGCGAGCGGAGGAGCTGGGATATGGGGAGTCGGCGGGGGCGGCGGGGCCAGGAGCCCTCCGGGGGGCCGACGAGCGGAGCGGCCCCCGGCGTTTGCTAGCGCGTGAGCCGTGGGGGAGCGGGCGCGCGGTGGCACTAGCGGAGGCGGAGGCGGGGCCCGGGCGTGGAGCACGGCTGGGAAAACTGCTGCCTCCGGCCCTGCCCGGCTCCTGCCTCCGCCGCGGCCGGTGGCTATGGAGCTGGCGGGCCCCAGACCTGGGGCGACAGAGCATCCGCGACTCCGGCCGCCCATGTCCTGGCTGCTGCCGCCGCTGCCCCTCCTGCTGCTGCTGCTGGGCCCAGCGGCCTCCCAGCTGCGATACTCGGTGCCGGAGGAGCAGGCACCCGGCGCGCCTGTGGGCAACGTGGCTAGCGCGCTGGGGCTGGAGCTGCGGCGCCTGGGGCCCGGCTGCCTGCGCATCAACCATCTGGGTGCGCCCAGTCCGCGCTACCTGGAGCTGGACCTGACGAGCGGCGCGCTCTTCGTCAACGAGCGCATTGACCGGGAGGCGCTGTGCGAGCAGCGGCCTCGCTGCCTGCTCAGCTTGGAAGTGCTGGCGCACAGCCCCGTGGCGGTGAGCGCCGTGGAGGTGGAGGTCCTGGACATCAACGACAACTCGCCGCGCTTCCCGCGGCCCGACTACCAGCTGCAGGTAAGCGAATCGGTGGCCCCTGGAGCGCGCTTTCACATAGAGAGCGCGCAGGACCCCGACGTGGGCGCCAACTCGGTGCAGACCTACGAGCTCAGCCCCAGCGAGCACTTCGAGCTGGACCTTAAACCCCTGCAGGAGAACAGTAAGGTGCTGGAGCTGGTGCTGCGGAAGGGCCTAGACCGCGAGCAGGCAGCGCTGCACCACCTGGTTCTCACAGCTGTGGACGGGGGCAGTCCAGCCCGCTCGGGCACGGCACAGATCTCTGTGCGCGTCCTGGACACTAACGACAATTCTCCCACCTTCGACCAGTCCACTTACCGCGTCCAGCTCCGGGAGGACGCCCCCCCAGGCACGCTGGTGGTGAAGCTGAATGCCTCGGACCCGGATGAGGGCTCCAACGGCGAGCTCAGGTACTCCCTGAGCAGCTACACGTCGGACCGGGAGAGGCAGCTCTTCAGCATCGATGCCAGCACTGGCGAAGTGCGGGTAAGTGGAGCACTGGATTACGAGGAGGCCTCTTCCTACCAGATCTATGTGCAGGCGACCGACCAGGGGCCCGTGCCCATGGTGGGTCACTGCAAGGTGTTGGTGGACATCGTGGATGTGAATGATAATGCACCAGAGGTGGTGCTCACGGACCTGTACAGCCCAGTGCCTGAGGACGCTGCCTCCAACACCGTTGTGGCCCTCCTCAGTGTCAACGACCAGGACTCGGGCCTCAACAGGAAGGTGAGCCTGGGCCTGCAGGCCTCACTGCCCTTCCGACTGAATGGCTTTGGAAGCTCCTACACGCTGGTGGTGAGCGGTCCTCTGGACCGGGAGCGGGTGGCTGCCTACAACATCACGGTGACAGCCGCGGATGGGGGAGTACCACAGCTCACATCCCAGCGGACGCTGCAGGTTGAGATCTCTGACATCAATGACAACCCACCCAGCTTCCAACAGGACTCCTACTCCATCTACATCGAGGAGAACAATTTGCCAGGGGTGTTGCTCTGCACTGTGCAAGCCACAGACCCGGATGAAAAGGAGAATGCGGAGGTGACCTACTCCCTCCTGGAGAGGGAGGTTCAAGGGCTCCCGGTCACCGCCTACGTCTCCGTTAACAGTGCCAGTGGCAGCCTTTATGCTGTCAACTCCTTTGACTATGAGAAGTTTCGGGAGTTCTTTGTGACTGTGGAGGCCCAGGACAAGGGGAGTCCACCACTGAGCAGCACTGTGACCGCCAACGTGTACGTGGTGGACACGAATGACCATGCCCCTCACATCCTGTACCCTACCTCAACTAATGCGTCAGCAGCCATGGAGATGGTGCCTCGAACTGCCCCTGCTGGTTATCTGGTCACCAAAGTCATAGCCATGGACTCAGACTCTGGCCAGAATGCTTGGCTCTTTTACCATCTGGCCCAGACGTCTGAGCTGGACCTCTTTAAAGTAGAGCTACACACAGGAGAAATTAGGACTACCAGGAAGATGGGAGATGAGAGTGGGACGACTTTCAACCTGACGGTGGTGGTCCGCGACAATGGCGAGCCGTCACTGTCGTCCTCCGTGGCCATTACAGTGGCTGTGGTGGAGAGAGTCTCCAGAATCCTCCCTGATACTCAGAGACATGTTAAGAGTCCTCGGACATACTCTGAAATTACACTCTATCTAATCATAGCATTAAGCACAGTGTCTTTTATATTCCTTTTGACAATCATTGTTTTGAGCATCATCAAGTGCTACCGTTACACCGCGTTCGGGACCGCGGGCTGCGGGGGCTTCTGTGGAGTGAGGGAGCGGTGCCCCGCTGAACTAAACAAACAGGCCAACAACAATATCGAGGCCAGGATACCTCATGGCCTCAAGGTGCAGCCACACTTCATTGAAGTGCGCGGGAATGGCTCCCTCACCAAGACCTACTGCTACAAGGCCTGTCTGACAGCAGGCTCAGGGAGTGACACTTTCATGTTTTATAACACAGGGGCACAGACAGGACTGGGGCCCGGGGGAGCCCAAGCAGCTGCGAGTGAGAGCAGGCACCTCACAGGCCAAAGTGGGCAGAGTGCCGGGAACCTGATCATTCTAAAAAACGATGCTGTTTCTCAGAACGAGGTGAGAGAGCAGTCAAGGGGTCATGCATTTGCACACGTCCCCTCCCCCGCGCCAGTGTCATTGGCTTTATTGAGTTACTAACAGTGACAGGGGTTATCTGGTAAACTGAATGTATATAGTACCTGTGACTTGATTATAACCTACTTTGTTTCCACTCTAGGAAAGTAACATCAGAGAATTGTTTTACTTTGTTTTCTTTTCAGATATATGAAGGCTTGATCATAACGCTGTTAAGAAGTAAGGATTGGTCTTAAATATTTGATGTTAAAACATAGCTCTGCAGAGGGCTGGAACAGGCTTGAGAATAAGATGATGCCGTACTGGGTAATGTTTTGAGATTCAAGGAGAAATGTCCTGCTGTATCATCTACAGGGAAAGTTCTCTTTGGAAATGCTATAGGAGTGTTGTTTTTTAAAAAGCTCTGAGACCTCTAGGGGTTGTGGTGGTCAACTCTGCGTGCTTTCCTTGTTTATATATCCAGTTACTATTTCCAGTAATTGCACTGAACTGATGTGATAGGATCTTCTGGCAATTCATGTCAGAGGTGATAAAGCCATAGACTGTGGATCTCACCTTGAAGCCAAAGTTTGCTTTGTGGTAATTCTACTGTAGGGGTTTTCTGAGGAGATGAAGGATGGTAAGACAAAGAGACCAAGAATGAATTTGTCTGGTTGGACTAAGGAGATATTAGAATAAGTGGATCAACGATGTGGGGATGTGGTGAATAACAGGACAAGCTGGGATTGGGGAGAAAGAGGAGAAAAGAACTCTCCCATTAGTCACCTTTCTTGGCATAGGGGAAGTTCATTGTAAGATGATTTCCCTGCAGTAGGTTAAATGCAATCTGTAATTTCCTGATTTCCTGTTGACAATTTCGAAGGTTTTAATGAGATGTGAAGTAGCCTCTCAAGCCCATTATATCTTTAAGTTAAATGACAATACTTCAAACAACACTCCAACATATTCCAAAGTACATGTTTATTTTCGGTATCTAGGATTTAGTTTGCAATAGCTAGAAAAGCCTTGGAAAGTGGATGGCTTGCTGTACATGAAAGACAAGTGTTAGTAAATACATGGGTTTTAAGTTTTGTTTTGTTTTGTTTTTAAGATTTATTTATTTGAGAGAGAGAGAGAAAGAGCGTGGAGGTGGGGGGTAGGGGAGGAGCAGAGGGAGAGAGAGTCCCAAGTAGACTCCATGCTGAGTGCTGAGTCTGACTTGGGGCTCGATCTCACAACCCTGAGATCATAACCTCAGCCAAAACCAAGAGTTGGACACTTAACTGACTGAGCCACCCAGGCGCCCCTAAAGTTTTAAGTAGGCAGAGGCCAATTCGCTCATTATTATGAAGAATGTACATAAATTATTGGACAGTGCATGAATGTGTGGATGTTTTTGTGTAGTGTGTCTCCATATGCATGCTTGAAAATAGAGGTCTGCTTTGTGATACTTTAAAGTTGTATTTCAGAAGCCAAAATTTTGTCCCATCAATAGTGATGAATTGTTATCTTCCCAAACAACTACTTTGTAGCTAGGACTTTCAGAGGTACTACAAAAGGAATTAATAATATTTGTCCCTTCTATATTTTTGTGATGTATTTTCATTGACATACTGCTGTCTCTCTTATTTTTTTAATGTCCATAGTTTCACATTCTAAATTCATGCTAATCTTGAGGAAAGTAATGCATAAAATACAGAAAAAAGCCCAGATGGATAGAGTATTTCCCATGTACATTGTACGTAGGTGTGTTAGAGAAGCCTGCTTTTAGTCAATATTGAGCAACCACCGGAGGCAGATTAAGAAAAACAGGGAGACAAAATCAAGGAGTTTCCAGAATTCTTTAGATCATAGCTTTTGGAAGCCTGTAAAAAGGCTTAATAAGGATGCTGTAGACATTTGCTTAACAAATTCTTGTGAAGCCCCTCTGGGCCTAGGGTGGGCTGCAGGTGGTGAAGATGCTGGGAGAGCAGGCCGGGCAAGCTTTGCCACCAGCCGTGAGCAGGAAGCTCAGCTGCAAGACACTCTTCCCCTCCTTCTCCTCGCTCAAAGCGTGGGGCAGTTCGATACATGAACTGTTTCTGTCTTACACTGACCTGTGTGGAGAAAATTATGTCAGATAAGTCCTTGCTCTTGTGGGATTTTACCAGGAGGATGAATGCCTGATTTTAATAAAGGCAGATTTCTGCCAGCCACGTTCAAAAATCCAGTGAAGCGCCCTAAGGTCTCTAGCTCCTGCAATTATTACAGTTAAGAGGAGAGAGTGAGTCAGGTCAGAGTGGCAATATGGAAACAAAAATCACTCAGCTCTGAAAGTCATGACTGCTAGATCAACCTGTTAAACTTCCACGTTAGGCTTTCTCTTTTCCCTACCTAGTTACTGCAGATGGCAGAAGAGTCCTAGGGTGCATTCATGCCATGTGCCTACGTTAATGAGATGAAGATTATAAAGAATGAGTAAGGGAATCTGCACTCAGTGACCACTATGTTATATAAAAATGTTCTGCTTTGCAATATATGTGTGATTTCATTCCCTGTAAATCATACATGAAAGAAACATTTACCAACATCTAACATATGAGGAAATAAGCTCAGAGAGGTTAAGTAACACACACAGTCATTCTGTTAGTCTATTTTAAGTCCTGTCTGATTCCAAAGATTAAGCTGTTTGAAATAGTATGAGTAGACAGAAATCCCAATGTTTATACTCCTTTTGTTATGTGATAATCTGGCATTTGCCTACTACGGGTTCTAGTGTAAATTGACTGCTTTTGGAGAAAGAGTAATTCCTTGCATAAAAGTAGGTCACAGGCGGGAGGATCGATGAGTAAAATTGTTACTATCAAGCTGATATCTTTTTATTTGTTTATCTGTTTCACTTTGGCACAGCCTGTGATGATCTTTCATCTCGGTTCTTTTTCTGATTTCTCTTTTGTTGCTTATTAAACAGCATTTAACATCAGACTCTAATCTTTTGATAGATTTCACCCCCAGTGAGCCTATTTGTACAATGAGCCATTTGTACAATGAGGTTTCTGAAGTAACTTTTTGGCACTGGGGCAGAATTTCTCTTCTGAGATTTCTGAAAACCTGATATTGAATGTGGTTGGCACCCCTTTCAGAGCCTCCAAGAAAAGGAAACCAAATCTTTTTTTTTTTTTTTTAAAGATTTTATTTATTTATTTGAGAGAGAGAGAATGAGAGACAGAGAGCATGAGAGGGAGGAGGGTCAGAGGGAGAAGCAGACTCCCTGCCGAGCAGGGAGCCCGATGCGGGACTCGATTCCGGGACTCCAGGATCATGACCTGAGCCGAAGGCAGTCGCCTAACCAACTGAGCCACCCAGGCGCCCAGGAAACCAAATCTTAAGGTAGATTCTGTGTGTGGTCCTGTGACACCTCATGAATCGCTCTGAGTGCTCTGGGCAGATTTGTCCAACTGTGCTTCCGTGGGACCAGGTGGCATAAGATGTGGAAATCACAAGACTAGCAGAAATAAGTTTGCTGTCATTTCTTTTCAAGCAATTTGTAGCCATCAGATCTTCAGTGTTTCTGCCACTGTGTATATATATACATTCACCCCAATTGCAGATGCGATGAGCGGAAAGAGCTAACCCTTCTTTTAGTGGAGCCTAATTTTTTCCCCTAGGACTAACTTTTCTATCTGGTGACTCTGTCCTGTATCAGAATTTATACTTAGTGCAAAGGGACATGGTGGTGAATTCATAAAAAGTGTGTGATGGTCAGAATAGGCAAAGAAATTCTATCTGTGAACTTCCATTCCAGTGTTTCACCCTCTCATGGTCACTTTTGAGGGGTGGGCTCCTTTGTTTTGCCATTTCTATATTGGTTATAGGACTGTTCTTCTGAGAAAAGGTTTATTTTCTTTGGTCTGGTAATATAATAATTTCTTCAAATTACCTCCTTCCTTGCTTTTTCTGCAGATCTGCTGAGCCAGATGGAATTATGGCTGAGCTCTTCTCAGTCTCTTTATCTTGCACATATTCTGACTGATGAAGAAATCTATTTATTGTAGCTTGAATGTCATTGGCTTCCCCTTTCCTCTGACCCAGGAGTGAGCTGTCACATGGGCAGCTGGTCTACCTCCAAACACTGCAGGGACACAGCCTGGCATATTATAAATTGCCTATTGGCATGCTGTCTGCTTGACAGAAGAGCAGAGTCAGTTCTGGATACTTGCCTTGGTTTGCCACCAATTTTTGCTCTCAATGAGGTTAGGAAGATGTCAGTTCACAAATATTTGAGGAAAACTTGCCATCACAGAGCCCAGAGGTTTAGATGAATTTAATGGAGATTTCCAGGTGTCTTTGAATGTGACTTTTGTTAGGAATTCACCTGGCTCAAATTTCCTGTGCATAATAAGTATGACTATAAATTTAGTTTATCCATACGATCATATTTTGAGCATTATAATCTATAATCATGATTTCAAAAATCAAAGGGCAAGAGGATTCCTAGGCAGTATTTCAAATCTGCTCACCTAAAAATTACAATCTTTTTCTTTCAGGAATATGAACTTGACAAATGTAAAGAAATATCTGACATTGCAAAGGTGAAGAAAAATGTTAGTTCCTTGGCACATAAGCAACATCAGTTCCTTTCTGGCCTTGCAGGGTCAGAACTCTGGGCTCCAGGGAAGTGAAACTGTGAGTGAGGGAGTAACTGCTGTGCTAGCAGGCTCTGCGTCCAGAATTAAGCAAACCTAGCATTTTCTGTTGTGCTGGAACCCATTAGTATGTTTCAATATTATGTTTATTTTACTTCCCTGCTTCATGGATTAGCAAGGGACTTCAGAGGAAAGTATTTCATTTTGAATTCTCATATTTCTCATCTTTTCAGTTGCTTTACTAGAAGACTAATAGGTAATATAACAGTGATTATTTTAAATGTTATACTCCTTCTTGCCTTATTGACCAGCAGTTTATATATTCATTTTCTATTGCTTTGTAAGAAATTACCACAAATTAGTGGTTAAAAACAACTCTCATTTATTCTCTCAGAGTCCTGCAGGATGTGAGCGGGTTCTCTGCTTAGGGTTTCACAGGGCTGAAATCAATATGGCACCCTGGCTGAGTTCTCTTCTGGAGGCTTTGGGGAAGAACATGCTTTCAAGTTCATTCAGGCTGTTGGCAGATTTTACTTCTTTGTGGACTACCTACTTACACACTGCTGGCTGGAGGTCACTCTCAGCTGCTAGGGGTTGTGCTCAGGTCCTTGCCTCATGATCCTCTCCATCTTTCGAGCTAACAGTGGAGAATCTTCTCTCATGTGGAATCCCTCCCATGCTTCAAATCTCTCCAATTTCCGTCTCTGATCTCTAGACCCAGATTTAAAGGGCTCATGTGATTAGGTCAGTCCGGCCCAAATGATTTCCCTGTCTTAAAGCCAAGTGTGTCATATAACATAACCTAATCAAAGTAAGAGCCATCGTATTTATTCTTGGAGATTATGCAAGGCACATACACCAAGGTGTGAGGATCTTGGGGGGCATTTTAGGATTCGGCCCCTCATAGTTTATATCAATGATCTCAAATTATCAGTGTGAAAAATCTGCAGTGGATACATCCTTAATAGAGTCCTAATAGGAAGCAAAAGGAGATGCAGCATATAGTTACATGTCTCAGAGGGCCATTTACTAATAGCATCAACATGGATTTCCATGACAAGGAGTGTCATTTCCTGAGTGGTCCTATGATTTGTTTTTGAAGGAGATAAGGTATTTTAAACCTATTTTATTTTAAATTTGTCTTGAAAGAGTAACTCACCCTTCTGTAGCTCAGATATTCTATGGTGTAAATAATAAATAATATTGTTACAGGATAAGTTAAATCTTTGTTATAATTTTGATAGAAACTTAAACGGCTTCTTGTTCTTCATTAATGCTACATCACCCATATGGACTACCTAATTCAGTTTTTCCACATCTGGAGCTTTGTGGCTATTAGTCTCCTGAAGGACTAAGCTTTGAAAAAACAGAACATAATGGGGCTTTCCACCAATAGGAATTAAGCATAGTTCTGGAATGTATCATCCAAGTGTTAGAAAACTAATTCAAATCCTTAGTATATGTCTTCAATGTATCTGGCATATCAGTAGTCAACCTTTAAACTTGAGTTTTTCTGATTTTAATCAAGTTTGGGTGAAACCCACATATATTTATTACCTTATATTCTGTATCATTTAAAAATAAATTTGTATCTGGGAAACTCAGATGTAACAAAGAGAAAAAAGAAAAGTACAGTTGGCCCTTGAGCAATATAAGGGTTAGGGGTGCCGGACCCACGCACAGTTGAAGATCCAAGTATAAATTTTGATTCCTCAAAAACTTAACTACTAATAGCCTATTGTTGCCCAGAAGGCTTACCGAGAACATAAACAGTTGGTTAACACATATTTTATATATTGTATGTATTATATACTGTATTCTTACAATTAAGTAAGCTAGAGGAAAGAAAATGTTATTAAGAAAATCATAAGGAAGAGAAAATACATTTACAGTACTATATATGGTATTTATTGAAGAAAATCCACATATAAGTGGACCAATGCTGTTCAAACCTATGTTGTTCAAGGGTCTATAATATATGTCATTCCATGTAGATTAGTTTAAAACAAACTTTTGTGGGGCACCTGGGTGGCTCATTCAGGTTAAGCGGCTGACTGTTGGTTTCGGCTCAGGTCATGATCTCAGGATCAAACCCTACATCGGGCTCTGTGCTCAGTGCAGAGTCTGCGAAAATTTCTCCTTCTCCCTTTGCCCCTGTCACGCGCTGCCCACCCCCCTCTCCCCCCGCCCCAGCCTGGCTCACGTTCTCTGTCTCAAATAAATAAATAAATCTTTTTTAAAAAAATGCACAAACTTTTGTGTTAGGGAGACCTAAATATAACTATCAGCCAAACCCACCAATCAGGCAAATGATTTAATCTTTCCAAAGCTCAGATTTCTTATTTCTATAAATTTAAGTACATTAATATTACCCTTGCATGATAGTTCATTTGTTCAGAAACATTTTTGGGGCACCTGGGTGGCTCAGTTGTTGAGTGTCTGCCTTCGGCTCGGGTCACGATCCCAGGGTCCTGGGATCGGGCCCCGCATTGGGCTCCCTGCTCTGTGGGAAGCCTGCTTCTCCCTCTCCCACTCCCCCTCCTTGTGTTCCCTGTCTCGCTGTCTCTCTGTCAAATAAATAAATAAAATCTTAAAAAAAAAAAAAGAAACATTTTTAAAAGGTACCAAATACCTGAACCCTGCGAAGCTCTGAGGACATAGCTATGTATTATGAATATCTGAGGATATTCATATGTTTTGTGGACAAAACAGATATGCCTTTTATAGAATTTATGGTCGAAAAGAAGTGTTAGAATATGGGGCGCCTGGGTGGCTCAGTCGTTAAGCGTCTGCCTTCGGCTCAGGTCATGATCCCGGGGTCCTGGGATCAAGCCCCACATTGGGCTCCCTGCTCGACGGGAAGCCTGCTTCTCCCTCTCCTGCTCCCCCTGCTTCTGTTCCCTCTCTCACTGTGTCTCTCTGTGTCAAATAAATAAATAAAATCTTTAAAAAATAAATAAAAATAAATAAAAATAAAAGAAGTGTTAGGATAAATGCACCAATATGTTTAAAGTGCTTATCCTATTGCCCAATACTGTGTGGAGACTTAAAACACTGTATATTCTTCCTTTCTTTTCCCTGCCCAATCTTACTACCCTAAGACATGTCCTAACTACAGTTCTGATAAATGAATCTGAGAAGCGCCTTGTTGTTGATGGACTGTTACAGAAAATAGCAGCATGACAAATTGTCATTGAGGAAGTGAGGTTGTGTAGGGAACTGAGTTCCTTGGTCAGTCCTCCTAGAACTGTGCCTTTCCGCAAAATGAGGTGGGTGCTTTCATTCCAAAGATGAAGTCGCAGCAGTCTTCATCACGAATGTTAGCCAATCACAGAGAAACTGGCCACATTTGCCTAACCGATGTCCAAGTCTTTATTAAAGGAAGGTTCCTACGGTTGACACGAGTGCTGCTGATGGTAAGGGGAGAGATGGTGATGATTGGATTAATAGGAAATAGTTCAGCCATGTTTCCAGCTTTACAGAATGATTTGCAAATAGTTTCTCTTTTGTTCCCTGCAACGCCACTGGTGGAAAATGCGAATCCTTTCATCTCATGTGTAGAGTTTTATGCTACTTTATATGGAGCATCCATACCATGCTATGAACTTAACCACCGAGGATGAAGCAGCTTGCATGTTCATATCTTGCCAGCAGAGTGGAAGGGACCAGAAAGGGCAGTTAGCGTATGGGGACATTTGAGGTCAAGTATCCAAGAGTTGTAGCTTTTTCTGGGCCTTGACTTCGGCTAACTCTCTGAATACCATCCAACCACCCCGAAGTCTGTCTGCAAGTTGAGACGCTGATCACTACTTTCCTAGGTGTTGTGAAAAAGCGTGGTTAGGAAATACTCTGCATCCTTTGAATAAACAATAAAAAGGATAAGAACAAGAATTACTGACATTTTGAAGTAGTTTATTGATATTACTATGGCTTTGTGTCTACCAAATATGATCATTATAATCCAGAGCAATTTATAAAATACAACCTCCATCTCTTCATCTTTCCACTCAAATAGACTTCAGTATTTAGTGGCAGGACCACTTTAATCTCTGCCCATGAAAACACGTTGAGAAGAACACCTATCACAGGTGGGTTTTTTGGTAAAGATTTTATATATTTATTTTTGAGAGAGAAAGAGAGCACACATGCACAAACGGGGAGGGGCAGAGGGAGAAGCAGACTCCCCACTGAGCAGGGAGCCTGATACAGGACTCGATCCCAGGACCCCGGGATCATGACCTGAGCCAAAGGCAGACACTTAACTGACTGAGCCACCCAGGCGCCCCTCATAGGATTCTTTTATAACAAAATTTTTGCTAATAAATACAAATGTATTTATGATGGTGGTTCATTTTGTCCCCAGGAATTCCTGAGTAGCTTCTAAGCAGCCCATAACTCCTCCAGCAGTCTTTAGGGGCCTATATTTTCCTTCTCTGTCCCCTCCACTTGGAATTGCCAGTCTGTGGACAGAGGTGGTGCTGGTACGCAGGTGGTGCAGACTGAGCCAGGTTCTTCTTGGGTTTCAGCAACTCCCTGTTAAGCAATCAGAGCCGAGCGAACAGTAATTGAGGGAAGAGGCAAAACACTCAGAAGAGCAGGGAGCGAGTAGGATTTTATGAAAAGGATTATGTAGCAAAACAAGGTCAAACTCCTGTCGCGGTTTGTTTTCCTTCCTGGGGATTCCCCTTCAAGCGGCAGAAGAGGCAATTCTCAGTCGCTGGTGTGCGGACGGGGCACATCCATCCTGGGTCGAAGATGCTGCACTCTGCAAAGCCAGCAGCAGATTGCAGTCCTCTGCAGTCCGGCCAGACCAGCAGAACTTGTGTAGTTTGTACGCCGTTACAGCTAGAATACCAAATGGGAGACGTTCCTTTAGTGTGAAGCATTTGAAGGCAAAAACAATGAACGCTTTCCCGGTCTCAAAATAGACTGCCCTCCCCCTAGTGCTGCTTTAGGAACATAGACCTGTTTTGAGCACGGCGAAGCCACAGCTGGTCCTCACAGCATCATTAAATCTGGTTTTTCCGTGATATTGAGTCTGTGGAAGGACCCCGAGGAGCTAATTTTCTCCTGAAGGGCTATATATATGGATATCATCTTAGAGCTGCACATAAAATGGCTCCTTCAAAACTTTTTTCAGATACACGGAACTATTCAAGAAACCGCTGATCAGTCATGGGGAGATCACCGCTTTGCCTTATTAACAAAACCTCCCTTTGTGATTTTGCAGCCGCGACAGCCCAACCCTGACTGGCGTTACTCCGCCTCCCTCCGAGCAGGAATGCACAGGTATGTAGCTCCTTCCTCTTTTCAATCAGAAGAACTTGAACTTTGTATGGCTCAGACACATGCTGTGTCTAGAGGCCAGAAACTGCTGTCAAACTGAGAGGCTTCAGATACTTTGCCAGGGGAAGGTAGTTCCTTTTGACTCCATGTCTCTTCCTTAGAACATTGGAAAGAGTGCCAAAGGCTTATCAGGGGCTGGCAAACGAGAGTTCCCTGTAAAATTACAGAGACAGGCGGCTGTGCACTTTCTCTCATTGAAAGTTCTATAAGGAGGGGCGCCTGGGTGGCTCAGTTGGTTAAGCGACTGCTTTCAGCTCAGGTCATGATCCTGGAGTCCCGGGATCGAGTCCTGCATCGAGTCCCGCATCGGGCTCCCTGCTCGGCGGGGAGTCTGCTTCTCCCTCTGACCCTCTCCCCTCTCATGCTCTCTGTCTCCATTCTCTCTCTCTCAAATAAATAAATAAAATCTTTAAAAAAAAAAAAAAAAAGAAAGTTCTATAAGGAAATAATTACAACTCCCCTTATCCCTTCCCCAGCTATACTTTCTGTCCCTCCCTTAGAAATTATAATTAATACCGATGCTTTTAGATCTGAATATAGGCACGTGTTGTCTACCTTGGTTTTCTGTCACACATCGACTCTTTTATCCATTAACCACAATAACTGGCAACATGTTGTTCATGTTCATCCATATTAGAATCTCCTTATCTTTTCCATCTTGTTACTCTCTCGTTGCTGTCAATAGAGGATGAGCCATGTGAAAGGCCTTTATTGAATATCTGGAGACCAAATCTATCTTATTTTAAATGAACCTAGAGTAATAGCATTACTCTAAGACTCAGATTAAATATAATTTTGCTGTCTCTACTTTGTCTCTTTGACAGTAATTAATTAACTACCATTATTCCCAGAGCTGATTTAGTGCCATAGGGCCAAATAAAAGATTCTTTATTTTTGAGTATCTTTGGAAACCAAGAAACTCATGATCACTACCAGCAAAAGGATTTAGTTTTAAGGAAGAAATAAACTCTAAACTGAAGCCCCTCGAAATGTCTGGGCAACACTTCAGTAGATCTTTACCAAACCTACATCAGTTTCTAAAGAGAGCTTACAAAATGTTACAAAATGTGTTAAGTTAATGAAAAATTAGTTTTGAGTCCACTTAGAAATGCATTAAAGTAAAATAAATTAACATATTCTCAAGCATTACATTACAAGTCGAGCAGAAATCATTATAATGGGTGCTATTTCTGAACAAGAAGCAATCAGTGAAGGCCTGAAGATCCGTAGTTGGCATAGTGAGATGTCACATTGGAACCTGGGTCATAATTTTAACCCAGAAACACTTGTGCAGTTGCTGGAATATTAGGTGTCAGGAGGGTTCTTTCTCTTTGTTAGTGACCAGCTTATACTTTTGCCTACATCTGAGCTATTGTTGCAAACCATACATCAGGAAAAAGCATGGTTTATAATGCCAGCCTTTTCTGTCCTAGTCGAACTAGTGTTTTACTTGAGAAGTATCAAAGCCATGAGATGTGCCTTTAAAACTACGTTTGAAACAAAATGCTAAAACATATCACTTCCTTATTCCATTTCCAAAGGAAAAAAAAAAAAAGCCAAGTGTGCTTCTATTCAGATTTCAACTAAGATACCATGAGATACAAGTAGGATAAGGAATGAAATAAAAATTGAAGCTAAATGTAACTTATCCCTCACAGTAGAGTACACTGAACATATATTAGAGTTGTAAACGTACAGAATACTCTTCTCTTTTTACACATGTGCTTGGCTTCTTGGCCGTTCCAGCCTCAGACATCATGCAACTATTTCTTTGAAAATTCTGCTTTGAGTTGAGCTGGTTCCAGGGTAGTTACATCTCCAGAATGAATCTGATTGAACCCGTAGAATTTGCTGGTAGAATCCAGGAACACATGAAGGATATTAATATTTGAAAAAAAAAGAAGATTCTAGGATGTAGATGAAGGGAAGAATCGCAGTAGGGCAGAGCTTAATGAGTGAATTTTGATTAGATATGTTATTCAGAGTCAAGAGTGAAAGAGTATTCAACTGATAGATGGGCTTCCCCCACAATAGTTCAAGATTGTCTGCTCTGCTGCCTCATATAACCCTTCAGATAGTAGTATAAAATTAAGTTTTATAACTTAATTTGCAAGATGAACCAATGTCTTTTTGAAAAGAATCCTCTAATCCTGATGAGGATTTTCTTGGATGATGTTTACTCTTAAGAGTCCCATTTGTTCCTTCCTTCCTTCATCCATCCCACAAATAGAGGAGGGTCTCCTATATGCGAGCATTAGACATACATAAATGAATATGATGTTTGCTCCATCCCTGAACGGTTTATGTTCTATCTCTGCTTGCCTCTAAGGGTGTCCCAGTTCGTGTCTCACTCCCTGCAATAGTTCATGCCGAATTAATCTCTTCTGAATTGGGATCTGTGAGTGGTGGCGATAGGCTTCCTCGGGTTACAGGAAATGGAGGGTGGGTTGTCTGTAAGTAAAAGATACAGAAAGAATAAAACAGAAAATAAGGTTAAGAAGTACTTGGGTAACTAAATTGGAGTGATGCTACGGTTGTCAGCAAATAATTTTCATGTGTTTTCGTCTTTGCTGTAGAGGACCCAGAAACAAGAGAATCAGCAAGAGAGGCCTGGGGCTTCTGAGAACAAGCTCACCTCACGTGCTTCAGCATTAAGATGTTAAAATGGCGTTAGCCCTCTGATGGGCTTCCTGTTAGATTTACTGAACACCACGTGGCATTAATGACAAGCAAAACTGCCATAAAGATAAAACATGTTTATTGCCTGAATAGTATGGCAAGCAGTAAGTCAGCAGTGCTTTTGCAGTTGGTGTGAGGTGACTGCTCAGCAGTAATTGCTTCGGTTCAAGGAGGAGTAGAGTGTGTTAGCTGCAGCCCTGCCTTCAGAGATGCATGCACTTTCTCAGGTGGAAAGAGATCTGGAAAGTCGTCTGTGGTCTAACCATTATTTGGGTCTGTGTGTTTACTCAGCTCTGTGCACCTAGAGGAGGCTGGCATCCTACGGGCTGGTCCAGGAGGGCCTGATCAGCAGTGGCCAACAGTATCCAGCGCGACACCAGGTAAAGACCCAACGTCTCTCTCTTCTTGCTGGGTTCTAGAAGGCAATCAGACGACCTGCTTTTTTTTAAGACCAGGAATGTTAATGGTTCTCTTTTTAGTCTTTCTTCTTTTCCTTACATACATACATGATTATTTTGATTTTCAACTTAATGTCCTTCAAGAATTGAAACAGGAGAGAGAGAGAGAGAGAGAGAGTGTGTGTGTGTGTTTGTGTAAAGTTCTTTTGTAAAGTAACCAGGCATCTTTCACATGCTTAGGCTATCTGAGCCACACAGAGAAGATCTGGTGGCCTCACACACAGAGATGACACTGTTAGCAAAGACCTTTTGGTTGAAGACAATGGAAACCCATTCAAAGTGGTAAGCTAAAGGGAGATACATAGATCTAGAGATAGATACATAGATGCAATGGAGTTTCTCGTGGAAGTGGAAAGTTATGAAAACTTTTTATGAAAACTTTATGAGAGGCACCCCTCTCTTTGACTTCGGGTCAAAGTCAGACCTGCTTCTTTCTGCATATCTACATCAATCTGCAGACTGACTTTTACTGCCTTGACATGTATATTTACACATGTGACCATCTCACAGTTTCTTAATTTAGAGGACCAATGGGCACTGATTCCTAATCCATACTTTCAGGAAATAGAACCTGCCGAATTGGATCAAGAACCCAGTGGCTGGGAGAGCATAGAAAAATTCCTTAAACTCATATTTCCTTAGTTTCCTTACTCTTGCCTAATCACTAAAGCAATGTCATATAATAAAAATATGGCTATGTAGGCCCATCCCTGTGGTAGTTTTCATAAAGGAAGGTTTCAGAGACTGTATCATAATCCTCTATTGATAGAACATCATGATGATAATAATAGTTCCTGATATTGAGCCATAATCAACCCGGACATTGTGCCAAGCACATTAAATATGTGATCTCATTTATCCCCCATGACAACCTTGCAAGGGATTTATTATGTCTATTACACATATGAGAAAGTGGAGACACAGAGAGGGTAAGAAACATACCCACGTTCATGTAGTCTGTAAGTGGCAGAGGTAGGATTCAAACCCAAGTGTGTCTAGCTCCAAATCCAAGTGTATGTAGCACTTATATTCCTAGCATGGCTAGCTTGCAAGAACCCATCCAAATTCAAATACATATATTACAGATGACATAAGTGTGCATGTGAAACGTTCTTTCCAAAAATAATCAGGTGCCTTTCAAATGATTGGGCTATCCGAATAACATGTGCAGCTAAGGGCCCATTTTTGCTGGCAACACTAAGGGCTTTTGTTGATTCTAATCAGCCAGCATTTGCTATTTATGAATGTTGCATGATTCAACTAAAAGTCACATTTGTCAAAAAAAAAACCAAACTGAACAAATGCACAAGTTAAAGCAATTCATTAGAGGGTAATATTGCCAGATGGCAAGGAGAGGGACATAAAATAGTTCATTGACAAATCTGCAGCCCCAGTGCCAGTGATGGAGCGAAGAAATGATGGAGGAGGAAGGGGCGTTGGGCTGCCAAGTATTGCAGGCTGGGAGGCATCTGGAATGGTAAGAGCTAAGCAGCTTACACCCATGTCCTGCTCACCTGCCTTCGTTTCAGGGCTTTCCTATTCTCACAGAGCCAGGAACTAAGTCTGAATACGTTCTCCCTTTCCTTGATGATGCTGGTGGGTGTACATTCCTAGGCAAATGGGCAATAGCAACTGTCTGCTGATTATTTCATCTGCATCTGGCCCAGGTCTCTTTGCTTCAGATTTGAAAGAATGTTAGGAACCCATCTTCTTGACAGAAGATAAGGAAGGAGTCTCCACTGCTCCCCTCCTCTATTGTCCCAACCCCTCTTGTCTAATCCCTTCTGTCCAGGACTATGCCTGGTTCCTGCCGCATGAGTCACAGTCCTCACGGACTGGGCTGGACAGAGCTTCCATCTTGCAAGTAGCCCATGGGTGATCTAACCATACTTTTCAGCACACCTCCTCACCGGTGACATAGAGTTCAAAGGATGCCCCTCTGCCTTCTGCTCTGTCCTTTTGACACTTTCAGGTTTTAGGACTCAAAATATGTTCTGCGCTGTCATTAGGGAATATGGCATAAGGATTAAGGTTATGATTTGGAGTCAGCTGAATAAGCACATTGCTTAAATTCCTGTTTTCCTAATTACCCCAACTATAAACTGGGTATAATGATAACACCCATCTTAGTGAGTTGCCATGATTACTAAAGAAGAAAGAAAGTTGAATATAGTGTTTGACATATAATATTAATAAATGCCTAATTTTCTCACTCTTTTTTTTTTCTGGAAGAGTTTTGTGCAATCTATGATGTGGCCTTGGCTGATGACCTGGTGGCCAGAATTCAGTAATTCTCATTTCTGGACCCAGAGACACACCCTCTAAGGTTGTCTGGATCATCGTGACATCTGCACAGTCCAGGCACTCTCCCTACCCCCCAACCCCAGCTGTCCTTCTGGGGATCGAATGAGGAGGCTTCATTCGTTCTGCCCAAAGAAAAGGAAGATGCTTCAAGAAACCTGGTTGTTTCCAGCCCCAAGAAGAGCCTGCCTTTCATTGATTCTGTTGCTCCCTCCCGATGAAGGTGCAGTTGCTTCCAGAAGGCTTCCTCCTGTTGCCTGGGTCTCCTTACACTTGTGTCTGAGACCCGCCCCCAATGAATCACTACCTTCTCACTCCTAAAAGAGCTGTAGCCGGCGGGCATGAAGAGAGAGGGCCCAGCTATGCACCAGTCCTCATTCACATGTCTCCCTTGCGGTTGTTTTTCCTCCACGGATGCATTCTTTTGCTTTGTCACTAAACTGTTCATTTCTCTCCACAGTCCACAAAAACCTAGGATAAGATGTCACCCTCTGAAAGGATCAATGGGGACATCACCAGGTGATGTTCCTGGCAGGATAAACAAGTCAGGCATCAAATCGGTTAATCCTGATTACTGGCCCCCTTCTCCAGCCTCGCCTCTGTGTGAGCAGACCCGGACGAAGGGCTTCTTCTTGAGCAGCTTCCCATGAGACCGAGCAGAGAAAGAAAATGGGCTGAGGAGGGAGAGCGCGGCATCCAGTTACAGCTTCTTCTTCAGAGGGAGGGATGTGTTGGGGGCGGTGCTTTAAAGGGCCAGTCATTCACATTTGCAACTCTCACTTTCTCAGTGTGAATGTTCTGAAGAGGTTTTAATGAGTGCCCTCTTGTGCTCAGTTCCTAGAGGGAAGCCTGAGAGGTTATAAGAAGACTGCCCCTGCCTTTGAGAGAGCCGGTCAGGCTTCAGTGCACCAGGCTGCTTTGCTATTCCCTACTGGTTCTTCCAGGGGTCCCCTTTTCTACGTTTCATTACCTAAGGCAACAGATTATTTTTGGAGTGGGAGATACTATTTTCAAAAGAGCTCAGGGAATTCCAAAACACACCGCGCTGCCCTGCCGAAGATAACGCCGTAGCTTGTCAGGGAAGACCCCAGGGGCTGGGGGCCTAGGAAATGGAAGATTAATTAGGCAGGCCAGATGACTCAGGCAGGGAGGCGGAGGGGACCTTAGTTAGAGTGACCCGACAGTGGTTCGCAAAGTATAGTACGTGGAGCAGCTGCCCTAATTCCTACTGAGTCAGAAATTCTCAGAGTGGGGCCCAGAAATCTGTGTTTTAACAGGCCCTCCGTGTTATCCCAATGTACCCCAAATTTAAGAACTGGTGTAGAATGAAGAGTAAATATTCCTGAGGTTGTGCGATATCTTTGGAGGCTCAGAAGTCGTGCGAGGAAGGCATCGACTCATGATTCTTGCAGGAAGCAGGAACCCTTTCCTGTATCAGAGAAAGAATCACTAAGAGTTCAGGCTCCAGGTCAGAGTAACCCTCCTTTGAATTCTATCTCTGTCACTGTGCAGTTCAAAGTCCCTTATGTAACTTTTCTGATTCCTAGTTTCTCTGTAAGATAGTAGTAGTGTCCACTTAGTAAGGTTGTAACAAGAATTAAATGAGATAATACACGCATGTTACAGAACCTAGAGAATAACGATTGGTAGATGGTAGCTATTTCTGGGGATTTTTCAAGGTATGAGTCTGTCTTTCACATTGAGAATTTAGGTCTGATTTGTTCTGAGTAGTCTCTGTGGGAAGGCTCTGTTCTAGAGATTTTTCTTAACGCGCCTGTTTTTTTATGTCCCTGAGGGATTCTTTTTGCCCTGGTTTGCCATATGTCTTTATTCTGTGGATGATGGACACAGTTTATGTGCCCTAGTTTTATGGGGGCGGGGAATTCATGCTTTTATTTGTTTTAGGGATTCCTACCTCTGACAAAATCAGCTTTCCAAGAAGGGGCTTCATGTAGTCTCCATCTCTGATTCTTCTCAGAAAGAAGCCATGACCCTTGAGTCTTTTTTGGAATCCATATAAGAGCACTGCCAACACAAATTTTTCCACTTCTTGAGTGAGTGCAGCCTCAGGCCTTGTTTGAGAATTTAGAAAGCCTGCTGTTCCACTAACCTGCTCACCCTCAACTTCGGCTGTTGTCATGGCAATCACAGACCTGGGAGGTGTGTACAGATCCTTATTAGGAAAAAAAATGAGATCCGTGATCTGTGTATGTGAGGCAGCTCGCGCATTGGCCTTGGCGTCCTCCGCTCCCACCTGCATCTTGGGGCCAGAGTGCCAGCCTGGTTGAGAGGTCTCTAGCTGAGGAATGTGAGTCCTCGTAAGGTGCACTTTTACTTTTGGGGGCTTTGGGTCTCATCATGTCTGCTGGAGTTCTCTGTGTAGCTTGTGTTTTGTGTTCTGACCTGGCCTGGAGGAAGGGAGGGAGCAAGACAGGGTGGGAAGAGGGAATTAGAATCCTCTACCTAGGAGAAGCAATGAAACTTAAGTCTTTGCTGGCTTTATTCATTCACATTTGCCTCCTCCTTTAGAAGAACACCCTGCACTGTCTATTTTTAATGGTCATGTAAATAAAAAATTAGAAGGAAAACTTTCTGGTTTTCGCCAAATTAACATTTCCATT